GAACTGAGTTTGTATATATTTGCAGCCAAGGATTCACATTCTGAGATTTGTTACATTAGCCGAAAATTGCTATTATGATCTATACCATCTGCAAAAACACATGACAAAAGCTGCTCAAGCAACATATAGCCAACATTTTTAATTAAAAGTAGCAGCCTTTAAGAGATAAGCCGCTGCATGCTGCTGAACTCTGTTTTCGTATCTGGTCAAGCAGTAATGTCTGCTTGATAAATTAGCTTCTATTTTCTCCTTCACCTCTGATGGCTCGGCTCAGGGTCTTCCTGAAACTGTTAAAAATGTCTTTATCTGAAGATAAATATTGTTGGACAGAAACACACACGTCTCTCTTTAATAGTCAAAGCTGAACTCTGACCTTGTTCTGCAGCCTTGAGTTTTGTCTCCTCTATTCGATCAAGCTCCCTCTGACGAGCCTCCTGTAGCTGCTTCTCCTCCTTTTCTGCATCATACTTTATACCTGGAATCAAATGACAGGCCACAAAAATATAATATTAAATATAAACAGAGAGAAACAAGTGTTCTCTTACATGTCACCAAAACTGGGATCAATTAGAGGAAGTACTCCATTATTAAAATGATGCAACTTTTCCACAGTTTGACAAAAGACATAACCAAAATTATTGATAGAGGAATTTATATTTAAAAGAGGGATATAATAATTTATTTTAAAAATATCTTTTTTAAAAGGAGGGAAAAGAGGTTAGACACCTTGGATTAAGTTTTGGAAGTGATCTGCGCTTCAATTGTCAGACACATTAAATATTGACACATGCACAATATTGCTAATGTTGAGAGCATGCTTCGCAAAGGCAAGGCCAGACTAATGTATTTGCACAGAACTAGTCATACATATAGCAATTTAAAGTAATTAACAAGAAATGAAGGCAAAGAAACAAAAGTTAAATGACACTATACTGTCATTTAACCTGGGTCCCTGCATTGCTGTCTTAAGAAATCTGTCGACTCTACTGCTGAATTTCAGCACAAGCAGAGAAAGTGTTACTCCAATAATTAAATCCTTCCACTAGCTTCCTGTACCTTTAAGTGATTTAAATATTTTATGACTTGTTTTCAATTATCTTCATGTCTGCTGCTTACTTGTAAAATTCCTTTTTTATTTTTTTTTTATTTCTCTGCTTTTTCCCCTTCTGTAATATACATATTTGGTTCATAAAGGACTTCTCTGTCAATTATTGCTGATTGCACCTTATACTTGTTGAATTTTATTTATTTTTGCCTTTGAAAAACTACTAGTGAAAAGATGTTTTATTACTACTACCAATAATATTTTTTTTTATCAAAATGTAAAGCATTATGTTATGCCTTCACTGCGTTTTGATGCCAGTACTTAGACAGCAATCTTACTTGCTGTGGGGACGATTAGCAGATAGACCCCATCTAGCGTGGCCTCCACTGACTGGTTGTAGATGTCCGTCCATGGGATTTTTAACTCGAGACGTCCTTTTAACAAAAAAAAAAAAAAACACCAAATAAGAAAATGATCATCCAAATAAACAGCATCACAGAGAGGTAGTAAATTTACCTATGTGACCAGCTCTCACTTTAAAAGGGAGATCAAGTTGACTCTACAAAACAGAAACAGAAAAGTCCAATTATGCTCAAAGAAATCATCAGCTTTAGAGTACAACACTAGAGAAGTTATATTTAGCTCACCAAGGCATTTTCCTTTATTTCAAGATTTTTCAGCACAGCATCACCTACAATGACAGACATAGTTTACATACAGACACAACAAACTACTGGTTGACATTAAGCTCATATATGTAGCATTTAATCACTGTTCACTGCTCTTGTCCAATACTAACTGTGGAGCACAACCCCTCACAAAACACATGCCTTTAAAAACATATATTTGCATCCACTAAAGAAGAGTACATAAATACTATCAACAGTCTGACAAGAAATCAGTCTCACATTTTATTATTAATAAGATTATTTACTGAAAATTACAACAATATTTCTACTTTCTTGAAAACTGTCTACACTTAATTAGTATTTGATAAAATTTACATTAAATAAAATAATTTTGTGTCAAACTGTGAGGGTATCCATTAACAAGTTTCTCACATCATTTAACTTTCTGGCAAATATCTTGAAATGTTGCATAGATATTTAGACATAATATCTCTGCTGATGATGCCATCCAGTTTAGGAATTGCACCTACACAACATGATACTGCCACTCCCATACGTCGAAGTTGGAAAGATGTTCTCAGCCTTTCTACAGTCATTATAACAGAGGTCAACAACTCCAGTCCTCAGTGCCACTGTCCTCCAACACACCTGGATTAAATGACTTGGCTTTACAAAACTTAATGACATACCAAGGACGTCATTCGGGTGCAATTAATGGTGTTTATAGTCAGATGTAACTGCTTGAACAGATAGACAAAGAACAGTCATTCAGCTGGAGACCCAAATTTTACAGAAGTTCTTGGATAAATTCTTTAGATTTTTACACAATGTCTCACAAGAACAAAGTGTTTAAGATATGCCCTAAATACATCCACAGATGTGCCTCAAAGATTCTGATTTAATCTGCAGTGACAGGCTTTCAAACTAATGACAACATCACCAGGGCTTTTCAAGTGGGTTAAAGGCAGAGTAACTTTAGAAAATGGTAAATTTCTGATGTTCAAATAAAGAATTTTAAAAATCTCTTTCATCATTTTAACATTTAACAGGTACAAGTACTTACTGAATTTTACTTCACATAAACAGGAAAGGTTTAGCCTGATTTCAGGTCAGATAATGGAAAAACAATTACATTTGTTTACGAAGCTTATCTAAATGCCCTGTTTCTTCTCTACATGCAATCTGCAATAGAGGAATGTAGATGAAAATGTAGACTGCCAACTTGGAAAGTAGAAAATATTCAAAGAAAATTTAAAATAACAACGTTTCACCTGGAAATACATGTTCTAACCCTATCCTGTGTCCCACACATAATAGTTACCGACAGGTTCTTGGTAACACAAAAGAAAATACTCAGAATAAACCTGAGGCAAGCCCTAACCTGGTTCCAAAAAAGGGCGGAACCCTGAACTGATCCATTCCCAGAAACTTTAAAGACCAAAGGTAAATTTAACCCCAGTTAAATAAAATAACAAGAGACAATGTCTGCAGTAAAAACAGACAGGTGCATTTTCTTTCTTCTTTCATCAAAATCACCCAGCGGTTGTAATAAACTAATGAGAGACATTTAGAGAAGGGAAAGTGACACTGACAGCTGGGAGCGTCTTCCTGCACACAGGACTGGTGTGGCGAACGTCCATTAGCATGTAGCATGCTAGCATGCAAAGGTGCTCTGATGAAAGACAAACACAAGTTCGGTTACCTCCCCATATGCCAAGCTTCAGCTGCGAGCTGTCAAGGTTCACAACGTAGTCCCCTAAAAAACGGTTGAGGACGTCAACGACCACACTTTCAAAGACCATTTTGACGCTGTTTTCATCTGTGTTTCATCATGTTTACATATCGTGGACTTCTTGAAGCTGACTCAACGTCAGTTTCAGGCGTCCATCAGGGGATGTTATTACGTCACGCCGTAACTGCCGACGGAGAACATTTTATGGCAGGCTGTTGTAGTATATAATTTGGACAATTTAAGGCTACTAAAAGGATTTTAATTGTTCGTATCACCGAAAAATCGATGCTATGATTTATACTATATGATTTCCATTTCCTCATTTAAGGAATACTGTTTTTGTTCCATTTATTGCAAAGAATACGATCCGCAAGAAGCCATAGATTCTGTCAAGCTATTATATGGTAAAATATATTTCCATACTCTCACAAATCTTAACGATTGAAATATTGAGATAGCAAGAAGTAACGTGAAAAAAGACAACATGAACATATTACTTTTATCTTTATTAATAAAATGAAACAAAGCAAACATCACTCATGCATTTTCTGTAACCAAGCCATGCAAACCGGGATGTACAATCAGGTGAATGTTTTCCTCCATAAAAATCTCGAAAGAAAATAAATTTCAAAAAAGCCAAATTTATATAATTTTTTTCCTCTTTATTCTAGATTTACATTTTTATGAAAGTCTTGAATCATGGTTTTGAGCAGCATCTTGACATCATTGATTATTTTTTATGTATGAAACAATCAATAAAGAAATACCAATAAGAATTTCAGAAATTTTGTTGGAATCTGAGCAGAATCTAACGCTTAGACCTTGCTTTATAAGACTTCACTTCTACAGATTCAGCAGTAAATATTTTGTCAGCATAGATAAGTTTGCATTTTAATTTAAAAAATGCAGAAACAAAGAACCGCAACATTTAACATTGCTGGTGGGATAAAAGACTCTATTGATCAAGTTAACCTTCTTATGGCCAAAGTTATATGAAGGCCAGCTGGATTTATTTTGATTTTGCAATGATTCACCTATTGAGCTTCTTCTCCAACACATCTTCAACTTTCAGTAACTGGTAGTTGTTCTGTACTACTGTGTATTTTGTTTTGACAGATTAAATAGCAAAACAAAAATCTCATGCCAAATCCTGTCAGCAGTGATAACAAGTTTATACTTGAGAAGAGTAGTGATGCTCTGAAGAACCATAATGACAACTGTACTACATCGAAGGTGTTTTATAATGTTGAATTACTCACTTTTACACATTTACTGAAGAAACAAGGAAAAGAACAACATAACATCACCAAGATGGCAAAACAAGTTAAGTGTGTTTTTGTTGTTGTAATACAACTGTGCCACTTTGTGCTTACCTCAGTTTGTTTTTTTTAAAGTCTTAAATTATTGTCCAAGTGTGTTAGCTTCCTTTTTGGGTTAGTGTCCCATGCCTACATTCACTTTGATACTGCCTACCTGAGATGCTAATACAACTAAGAGTGGCTAAAAATTAATAATGGTGACAAAGTGCAATCACAATGTGATCACAGAAAAAAAAATACTGTTTTTACTAAACTTATAAGATTTAGATCCACTCTTACACCCGATCCTCAGAGGACACCAGCTTGGATAGAGGTTTACAGATCATCCCGATCACTGTTCCCCTCCTCAAAGCTCCCGCTGCAGCTTTATCCACCACTTTTAACTGGAGCTGCAGCTCCATCAGATCCTTGTGCCTCAGCTCAGTGAAGTAGAAATCTTCATTGAACTCGGGTCGACGGCAGTTCCTGATGGTGGCTCTCTCCTGGTGCTGCAGCTTCCCCGGCATCAGGCACAAACTCACAGCACAGTTCAGAGTGTGTCGTTCACTTCCATCCAGCAAGCCCTCCACAGACACCACACGCACTCTGACAGTGAAAAAGATTGAGGAAGCACCTTTGGAGAATGTGGTGTGCTCAGTGGAGAGCCGAACTCGACCTTGGCCCTGCAAAGGAAGAATGTGTTCATGCTGCAGTCTCTCCTGGTAGTGAAGCAGGTCCAGTGGATGGAGAACAGGTGGGAACAGGGTGGGAGGATTTTTATCACTGGTTAGCTGACTGCAGGAAGAAGTTGGTAAACTTAAACCTAATTTCTTTGGCGTCTTGCTTTTCTCCATGCTATCAATCAGCGAAGGGCAGGATACAGTTTCTTTAAGACGCCGGCTTCTGGATGGGGCACTTCTGGATGATTTGGCACTGGAAGGTGTTTCAGCTTCCACACTTGCTGCTTCTGAGAAGCTTTTGGACACAAAGAGTGTGAAAAGCCCTGAAAAAGTTTTCTTCAATGGGGCTTTCTGCTTTACTTGACTGGGTTTTGTGGCAGAGATGCGTCTTTCAAACACATATACAGGCCGTTTTGAATGGAACAAAGACTCTTTCCTTCTAGTGTTGGGACTCTCATAGATTCCAGCCAGGCCGTAACACTCTGCAGAGAATGGCAAAGGTTTCCTTGGAACCTTCTGAGGCACTAAAGGATCTTCACTCTTTTCCTTAATTTCAGTTTGGAAAGACGGCCTGCTCTTTTGTGTCTGCTGATGGCCGTCTTGCTGAAGTTGGGTCGTCTCGGTTTCTAGCATCGGCTGTCTCTTGAAAAGCCGTGGAGGCAGGCAGAATTCAGGGATGTTGTCCGGAGTAATGATGTTCGTGTGAAGTTTCTGTGAGAGGTTGGCCTTTGTGGAGAAAAAAGCATCCTCGTTTTTTCCAATGGAAAGATTCAGATCCAGAGGAATGCTCTCCATGCTCTCTCTGATCTTCCCCAGGACCCACATAACTGACTGCTGGCTTTCTCACCCAAGTGACTACCTTTAAAACAAACAAAACGTATGTTATTCAGGCAAGATCACAGAAATCTTTGTTCATATGTTTTCCAAAAAATCCAGCAAAGATTATTCTCCCACCTGTGAGGTTGAGATGTGCCTTTCGCTGAGATCTGAATGCTCTGGCGCACACGATAGGTTTTAAAGGTTAGTATGAGTTAGTGAGTCACTGGTCTCTCTGCCCCCGCACGGATCAGAAAATGTTGTGCACGCATACACCCCCAAATACGCTTCACAGGGTCTTTCTGTGTGTGAATCTGGATGGGTGTCACATCAGATCAGATGCATTGAAGGGCAGTTTGTGTGATGTCAGCTCTCTGAATTATACTTCCTTTCAGATCACTGGTTCAATGTGCGTTGGAGGATGAAAATGAGTCACAAAGTGCAAATATTAAATTTCTGTCATATATGAATTGAATGTTAGGACAGAGTGCTTGGCTCCACAAAGTGGATTGAAAACAGGCTCCGTGTGTTTAGTGGAAAATATTAAAGAATTCAAAACAAAACGAGAGATTGAAGTAATAATTAAATCTGTTGAAATATTCCTAATTTTCTCGTGTTACAAACTTTGCTACATTTCGTTTAGATTTTATGTGACAGACCAACAGAAAGCTGTACTTGTAAATTCGTAGGAGAATGCTCTAAATTCACCGACCTGAGTCTCTCTGTTGTTAAACTTTTTATTTATTTTCTTTTGCTTCATTCAGAGCTGGGGGGGATTGTTTCTTGCTTTACAAATCTGAAAACTGAAAGCTTTACTTATTATCCTTTCCAAAATGGTTTGAGCTGAGTCAGATTTGACCCTAGTCTTGACTTTTACTGGACCGTTTCAACACATGAATAGCCTTCAATCTTAAACCTTTTATATACATACCTCTGGCTACAATAGTCCATCTGAAAATATGTAATGAGCTTATGGGGTAGGAGTTCATGAGTTTCTTACTGCTTCCTACTACTTTTCAAGCATGTTAAAATTATTGTGATAGAGACATATGTGTCTTTTGCATTCTATCTATCTATCTATCTATCTATCTATCTATCTATCTATCTATCTATCTATCTATCTATCTATCTATCTATCTATCTATCTATCTATCTATCTATCTATCTATCTATCTATCTATCTATCTATCTATCTATCTATCTATCTATCTATCTATCTATCTATCTATCTATCTATCTATCTATCTATCTAGCTAGCTAGCTATCTATCTTATCTGTCTGTCTGTCTGTCAATAAATCAATAGATGAATAGCCTTCAATCTTATATATATATATATATATATATATATATATATATATATATATATATATATATATATATATATATACACACAGATATATATATATATAATTTATATATATATATATATATATATATATATATATATATATATATATTATAATATATATACATAGATATATATATATATATATATATATATATATATATATATATATATATATATATATATATATATATATATATATATATATATATATATAAAAAATAAAAAATTCCCTTCTCACCCACCGCGGGTGGTTCTTATCCTCTGAGCTCGGGTCCTCTACCAGAGGCCTGGGAGCTTGAGGGTTCTGCGCAGTATCTTGGCTGTGCCAAGGACTGCACATTTCTGGACTGAGATGTGATGTTGTTCCTGGGATCTGTTGTAGCCACTGCTCCAGTTTGGGGGTTACTGCCCCGAGGGCCCCGATGACCACAGGCACCACTGTGGTCTTCACCTTCCAGGCCCTCTCCAGTTCTTCCCTGAGGCCCTGGTATTTCTCCAGTTTCTCGTGCTCCTTTTTCCTGATGTTGCAATCACTTGGTATTGCTACATCTACCACAACGGCTTTCCTCTGATTTTTATCCACTACGACAATGTCTGGTTGGTTCGCCATTACCATTTTGTCTGTCTGGATCTGGAAGTCCCACAGGATCTTAGCTCTGGTGTTCTCCACCACCTTTGGGGGTGTTTCCCACTTTGATCTCGGGGTTTCCAGTCCATATTCTGCACAGATGTTTCTGTACACAATGCCTGCCACTTGGTTATGTCGCTCCATGTACGCTTTCCCTGCCAGTATCTTGCACCCTGCTGTGATGTGCTGGACTGTCTCAGGGGCCTCCTTGCACAACCTACACCTTGGGTCTTGTCTGGTGTGGTAGATCTGGGCCTCTATTGCTCTGGTGTTTAGGGCCTGTTCCTGGGCGGCCAGGATGAGGGCCTCTGTGCTGTCCTTGAGTCCAGCTTTTTCCAGCCATTGGTAGGATTTACTGATATCAGCCACTTGGGTTATTTGCTGGTGGTACATCCCATGTAGGGGCTTGTCCTCCCATGATGGTATCTCTGGCACCTCAACCTCCGTTCCCTGTTGTCTGAGACATTCACTGAGCACATTGTCTGTTGAGGCTTTGTCCCTGATGTATTTATGGATCTTAGTTGTTTCGTCCTGGACAGTGGTTCTCACACTCACTAGTCCTCTGCCTCCGTCCTTGCGGCTCGTGTACAGTCTCAGGGTGCTGGATTTGGGATGGAACCCTCCATGCATGGTTAGTAGCTTTCTAGTCTTAATATCTGTGGCTTTTATCTCCTCCTTTGGCCAGCTAATTATTCCAGCAGGGTATCTGATTACTGGCAGGGCATAGCTGTTTATCGCACTGATTTTGTTCTTGCCATTGAGCTGGCTTCTCAGGACTTGCCTTATTCGTTGGAGGTATTTAGCTGTGGCTCCTTTCCTTGTGGCCTCATCGAGGTTGCCATTTGCTTGTGGTATACCTAGGTACTTGTAACTGTCCTCTATGTCTGCTATTGTTCCTTGTGGGAGTGAGACTCCTTCTGTGCGGATCACCTTCCCCCTCTTTGTGATCAGCCGACCACACTTCTCTAGTCCGAATGACATCCCAATGTCAGTGCTGTAGATCCTGGTGGTGTGGATCAGTGAGTCGATGTCTCGCTCACTCTTGGCATACAGCTTGATGTCATCCATGTAGAGGAGGTGACTGATGTTGGCCCCATTTTTGAGTCGGTATCCGTAGCCAGTCTTGTTGATAATTTGGCTGAGGGGTTCAGGCCTATGCAGAACAGTAGCGGGGACAGAGCATCTCCTTGGTATATGCCACATTTGATGGACACTTGTGCAAGTGGTTTGCAGTTGGATTCAAGGGTGGTTTTCCACAGCTTCATCGAGTTTGCAATGAAGGCTCTCAGAATCCTGTTGATGTTATACATCTGTAGGCATTCAATGATCCAAGTATGCGGCATTGAGTCATAGGCTTTCTTGTAATCGATCCAAGCCATGCACAGGTTGGTGTGTCGGGTTTTGCAGTCTCGGGCAACTGTGCGGTCTATGAGGAGTTGGTGTTTGGCTCCTCTGGTATTTACACCGATACCCTTCTGTGCCGTGCTCATGTGTTTATCCATGTGTTTGCTTATCTTGGCCGCTATGATGCCTGACATGACCTTCCAGGTTGTGGAGAGGCAGGTTATTGGTCGGTAGTTGGGTGGGACTGGACCCTTTGATGGATCCTTCTGGATTAGGATTGTCCGCCCTTCAGTTAACCATTCAGGGTGAGTCCCACTTTGTAGCAGCTGGTTCATTTGGGCTGCCAGTCGCTCATGGAGAGCAGTGAGTTTCTTTAGCCAGTAGGCATGGATCATGTCAGGCCCTGGTGCTGTCCAATTTTTCATGCCTGAGAGTCTTTCTTGAACATCTGTCACAGTGATGGTTACCGGGGCTTGCTCAGGGAGGTTGCTGTGGTCCTCTCGTAGAGAGATCAGCCACTGTGCATTGCTGTTGTGGGACGCCTCCCTTTCCCATATGCCTTTCCAGTATTGTTCAGTCTCCAGCCTTGGTGGGTCTGCTCTGTTGTTATTACCCTGCCATTGAGAGTACACCTTAGCTGGTTGAGTGGAGAAGAGCCGGTTAATCCTTCTGGATTCATTCTCCCTTGTGTATCTCTTTAGGCGGCTGGCCAAGGCTTGGAGCCTCTGTTTGGCAGTCTCGAGTGCTTCAGGTATGGGCATCTGGCTGTACTTTCTGGGTACTGGTCTTTTCATTGTACCCTTGTGGAGCTCTGACAGTTGGCTCACTTCCCTCCTTGTTACCTTGATTTTAGCTTCTAAGGTAACAAGGAGGGAAGTGAGCCAACTGTCAGAGCTTCTCAATACATAATGCGACAGAGAAGTGTCACGTGACCAATGACCAGCTAAGCCAATCAGGTATTGGTCACGTATTATATATATATATATATATATATATATATATATATATATATATATATATATATATATATATATATATATATATATATATATATATATATATCCGGATATATCTGTATATATATGTACCATAAGTTATGGTTCCCATAAACTTCCATACATAGGTATGGAAGCTTATTTCCCATCCCATGTGTCATGTGACCAGAATCACATGACACAGACCGCCTTGTTATCGGCGGTCAAACGGGTCTTTCATGACCCGACATTTCTCTTGAACCATGCATAGCTTGTAAACTTAAGAAAGGATCAACCAATCTTAAAGCCCATTAAGTCTCTAACGGGCTTTGTGTTTGCAAGCATTTACTGCAAGGCAAGAGAAGTGATTTGTGACCAAATGATCGTAGATGCCCAACATTCAAAGGCTCTGCTTCTGCTAGTCATTGACGTCAATCTATGACGTCAGATTCGGAGTTTGAATGCGACAGAGAAGTGTCACGTGACCAGCTAAGCCAATCAGGTATTGGTCACGTATTGGTCACGTGATCTTCCTGTGGCAAACTCGAAGCCCGAATCAAATGTCATAGATTGACGTCTTGATAATAGGAAAAACACACCTCCTAATGCACATATTTAAATGTAGAGAAAGGCACAGGCTTATAAAAGTTTTCGTTTGCAACAGAGAATTTGAATTGCTTTCTGTCCGAGTTCGGGATTCCCGGAAAATGCATTTTCTGCTTTCTTTCTTTCAACTCCTGCAATTATTTCTGTTTTGTCACGTCTTGGACTTTTGATAATCTGGGTGAGATGCTTATTGTAACATTCCTTTATATATTGATTTTCTCTGGATAAAATTCTAGATATCTGAAGTCTGGTGTCGTATGATTGCTCTTTCTCCCTGCGCATATTGA